AAGAGTGAGATCTAGTGCTCTATAGTACTGTAGAGAGGCTGCAGTTAACTACAAATTACTGTATAACTTCAAGTAGCTAGTTGAGAGGGTTTTGAATGTTCCCAACACAGAGGTGACAAATGTTTGAGGTGATAGATATGTTGATATGATCATTGCACACTGTATAAATGTACCAAATGTCATTTTGTACTCCATTAATATATACAATTATCATGGGTCAATTAAGAAAAAAATAGAAAAATTCAGAAACAAAAGTAGATTAGAGGTTACCAGAAACTGGGGGAAAGGGCTAATGAGAAGTTATTGCTTAATAGGTACAGAATTTATGTTTAGAATGACGAAAAAGTTTTAGAAATAGATAGAGGTGGTGGTCACACAGCATTGTGAATGTAATTAGTTCCACAGAGTTGTATGTTAAAAATGCTTAAAATGAAGTAGTGGACTAACAGTAACTACAAAACTATGCTATCTACCATAAGTGAATCATTGTGCAGTATATGCATATATGGAAACATACTGTACCCCACAAATATGTACAAGTAAATGTTGAAATTAATAAAATGCTTAGTATCCTTATGTTATATATTTTACCACAGTAAAAAAAAAATAGAAATCTTTACGTGAACTTTTTGAAGATCCCTTGTATATTCGTAGCAATGATGGAATAGATCAAAGCCAGATGTCCTATATTCATTCTTTTAACAAATATTCGAATAAAAAAAAAATAGAAATCTTTACATGAACTTTTTGAAGATCCCTTGTATATTCTTAGCAATGATGGAATAGATCAAAGCCAGATGTCCTATATTCATTCTTTTAACAAATATTCGAGTTCCTGCTCTGTTAACAGTTACTATTCTAAGCATTGGAGCTGGCCAGTTAGCTCAGTTGGTTAGAGCATGGTATTACAACACCAAGGTCAAGGGTTCAGATCCCAATCATGACCAGCCACCAATTAAAAAAGAAAAGAAAAGAAAATAGCTTACTAAGCATTGGAGATACAATAATGAACAAGAAAGGTAAGCGTCCTGCTTTCTAGGAGCTGATATTCTAGCAGAGGGAGACACATGGTAAGTAATTAGTTAAGATAATTTCAGAAAATAAGTGATAAGTAAAAAAGTGGGAGTAGCATGAAGAAACTTCTAGGAGTAATGAATGTGTTTACTCTTTTGATTATTATATTGGTTTCACTTATGTATACATGCACCAAAATGTTTCTAACTGTACACTTTAAATATGCATAGTTTATGTCGATTACACCTCAATAAAGGTCTTCTAAAAAAATACAATTCACCAAGGGGTTTAGATCCCTGTCCTGGCCTACTGCCAAAAACAAAAGACAAAAAAATCCATGGGCAATATGGAAAGCTAATTCAAATTGTTTGGTTAGAGAAAATCTCCTGAGGAGTTTACATTTGGGCTAAATACCAAGAAAGAGCAGGCCATCCCAAGATCTGAGGACAAAGTGACATATGCTGTCTAAGGAAGGCAAGAGGGCCAGTATGGCTGAAGCATAATGAGCTGGGGAGAGACTAGGACCATGCAGGGCCTTGTAGGGCATGGTGAGGACAGCAGGGAAGCCAAGTTACCACAGCAACCGGCTGAAGCGCCTCTTTCACATATCCCTTAAGAATCAGGGCAGGGACCAGAGGCAACAGAAGAGCCACCCAGCATCTTAATCTATAAACTTAATGAGAGGGCTCTTCTTTTCCTTTTTTTTTTTTCCCATTCCACAGAGCTGCTAGGCAGCCGTGTAGGTAGAATGGGCCAGCTCAACTTTTATATTTTTTATGTTCTCTTCCACTGCAGCTTTTCCTTCCCTCTATGAGAAAGAAGCCAGCTCTGGCTGATGGCAGCAATCCTGATGGCGATCTCCTCCAGGAACACTGGCTGGTTGATGACATGTTTATCTTTGAGAACGTGGGCTTCACCAAAGACGTGGGCAACATCAAGTTTCTGGTCTGTGCAGACTGTGAAATTGGACCAATTGGCTGGCATTGCCTAGATGACAAGAACAGTTTCTATGTGGCCTTGGAACGGGTTTCCCACGAGTAACTGAGGCGAGGGGGACTCAGCTCTACCCCCAACTATAAAAGCGACTCCCCACAAGAACTGGCATTTAACCTGGCATAACTGTTCTGCTGCCGCCTTCTCCGTACTTCTATAAATAATGAGTACCAGCATGTCCACGTGAACACGCACAGGGTTAATCCTGCTTCCTTAGAGCCTCAAGTGCACGCCTCTTGCTTAGTTCATGTTGCATCACAACATTTCCTAATCTCCCTTTTCCCCGTTTTGGGACACTGATGCCTCCACAAACCTAGTCTCATTCCGGGCATTCTGCCTAGGCTCTATTTTACCCAGGAGCTCCCTTTTTTTCTTGCAATAGAAGAGTAGTAGTCAGCCTTTTAGCCATGATGACATGTCAAAAGATGCTCATGTGTTGATAGTTAAAACTGCCTTTTTCTGTCTCACTCAAAACATATAAGTATCCGAGAGTGACTTTGTTGTATGGCTACCCTTCTTATCCACAGTAATTTATTTTTTCTAAAAGTAAAGCATTTACGAATTTCAGTATTTAAACTGCTAATCAGAAATGCATTACTTTGGATACATCTCTGATACCATGCCCTTCTTATCCACAGTAATTTATTTTTTCTAAAAGTAAAGCATTTACAAATTTCAGTATTTAAACTGCTAATCAGAAATGCATTACTTTGGATACATCTCTGATACCATGTTTGAGAGCTTCTGCTCAAGGTTGGTAATGACATTTTATTGTGAAGAAGAATGTGGCCCCTCTTCTCTTCAAATCTTGATGTGGTGCTTATAGCCTATAAGTTGAGAATCAGATTTTCAACCCCATCTGGCAGCCACCACAAGGAAAATTTAGCTGTTTACCCAGGCTCTCTTGGAATCAGGGTGGAAGGTATAAGAAATATGAGGGATAGGCCTTTGCCAAATTATTCATGAGTTTATAGGTTTGTCTCATCTGGACAGGAAACTTTCTTTCTTTGTTCTCAGGAAAGACTTCTTTAATGGATAGGATCATCATTTACCGAACCTACTGGGCATGATCTTCAGAAAGTTTTTGTTCAATTGGAATCTCTATACCAACTCAGAATACAAACCTTCCAAATGCTTCTATTTCTATATCTGTGGCTTTGCTCTAACAGTTTGATATTAACAAACTTATTTAAGCCTTCAACATGATTTCCAATTATTCTGTCAGTTCTCTCTTCTGAAATAACTCACCATCCTAGAAGTAATCTGTATAATCAGGTTTCGGGTGTCCTCCCATCATCCCTCCCTCTAAGATTCAGGAGACCTAAAATTGAAATAAGGACTAACTAGAGACATTACCATCTGAAATCCCTTCCTTTGCATCTGTTTTCTGGTTGCTTCCTCCTTCCTTCACCCCACAATTTTGTAAGGGTTTCCCACTAGAATACAGGCCTTGGGCACAGTTCTGTAGCCAACCTACTCTCCTAGAAAGGTGGCTTCATTCCCAGACAGAGCCAGAGCAAGCTCCAGTACAAAATAAAAGAACTCTTCTAGACAAATGGTCAAATGTCCATTATTGTGCTATTTGCAGAAGAGCAACTGAGAATTATCCACTCAGATCAGAAAGAACAAAACCAAGTAGATGCCTCTGGGGCATATGGCCCCTCACATCACAAGCCAGAACCTAAACTAAGCATTTTTTAAAATTAGGCTTTAACTTTCTTTTTGTAATCACAGAAATAGTATATGAGTACATATTCATTGCAGATAAGTTGAAAAATGGATATAAAAAAAATTTTAATTAACTCGCACTTCCACCATTCAGAGATTGCCAATAGTAATGTGGTATATATCCTTCTCAATGTTTTGCTATATGTTTATATAAACGTGTGGTTTTTTTGTTTTTTGTTTTTTTTGTCTTTTTTCCGTGTCTGGCAACGGATCGCAACCCTCAGTGTTGCCCCCGTACCGGACCGGGGACCGGCAACGGGATTGCAACCCTCGGTGTTGCTCCCGCGCCTCGCTCAGCCAGTGAGCGGGAACCGGTCTGTATGTGGGATCCGAACCCTCGGCGGGAGCGCCGCCACGCTTCCCAAGCGGCGCACTATCCAGTGTGCCACCGGGCCGGCCCAAACGTGTGGTTTTTTAAAGACAAATATGAGATCATGCTGTGCTCTTTTATAACTTGCATTTTTCATTTAACAAAACAGGGTG